TTTGATAATTTTCTCAACACGATGCTCAAAGTCCTTCATTAACAGTTTGTATCTCACTTAAGATTAATAGTTTGTCATATACGTTAAAAGGCTATCATTTTTCACGGATTATGCTATTGCTTTCTGCACATAAGATTTGTGATACAAGTATAGTAAAATTATCATAGGAGCTTATATCTGAAATTGCTCATCTAAATTCTTTCTGTATCTAAGGAAACTGAGGTCCTAGAAACTATACAGTTATTTGTATAGTTATTTATGATTTTATGATTCTCTGTTGAGTCTCTACCATATAGCAGGTGGTAAATCTAAATGCTTGGTGTCCCCCTCCCCATGATTAGAGAGAGAAAATGCTTATACTAAGGAATTGTGAGTACTGAAATGTAAAAATGGGATTCTTACTGTTACGTCAAAGCCCAGATCTGAGAACAATGGATAAATACTCCTGTATTAGAAAAAAAAAGACACCAGACGTTCTCATAGGACTTGCTAACAAGTAGCCAAAACTGGTTCTGTAACCCAGATAACGACTGTGTCAATCTACAGAAAAGGCTAAAGACTGTGGAAGGAGAGGGTTTTCTTTTGAGAATTTTCATCCCAGTTAGGAATGTAATGCACTTATTCTCCCTGTAGGGGTATAGAGTAGGGGGCATGCTTCTCCTCATGCCCAGTGAGGTAGTTGGCAAGAGAATTTCTTAGAGAGATTAAGGAGTGCTTATTCCACAGGCAGATACGTGCTCACCTGCAAAAACTTAAGAGGCCCACTCCATACTGCTACCGAAGTGAAGATACAAAGAATTTTTAAGAAAACATGACATGTGTCTCCAAGAATTTGTAGACATTCATGATAAAGGTTTAAGTTACATGGACTAGTCTTACAGCACAGTGAGAAGAACCAGACTGGATACAAGCTGTACTTTCATCAAAAATGGGGCAAGGAGGCCTAAAGTGGATATCCTAAGTTAGCAAAATAGAAGGACCATAACAGGATCCAGTCTTAAGAAGAAGGCTGCCTGACACAGCCCTAGGGGTACAAGACCAGGTGTGAAATAACAGAATATATATATACAGGGTGGGACAAAGGTTTACAACTGTATGTAAAACAGAGTTTATTCTTGTATTATTATTATATTATTTTTTCCATATGAACAATTAATTGTAAACCTATTTTTGCTTACACACATGCCTCTGTCCCTGGTTCCAGGTACACAGCTCTTAAAACCCATGGGATTTCCTGGGTGATAGGAATGTCTTTTGTTCTAATGAGGTAAACTCTTGGTGGGCTCCTGGATATGAGCTAGTCACCAGGAAGATCAAGACATGAGCAGAAGTTTAGAACTCTCAGCCCCACTACTCATTCTCCAGCGAGGAGCTGGAAATGGAGTTAATGACAGATCATGACTATGAGATGAAGCCTCCATAAAAATCCTCAAAACAGAGGTTTGGGTAGCTTATGCGTGGAAGTGTTGGAAAGGGATGTGCTCAAAGAGACCAAGGAAGCTCTGCATTCCTTCCCATATACCTTACCCTATGCAGCTCTTCCAGCTGACAGAGCAGACAGTGATTGCCTGGGGCTGACAGAAAGAGAGACTGACTGAAGGGAGACAGAATGGTACTTTTCTAGGGTGATGGAGATGTTGTATAACATGACTGTGGTGTTGACTACCTAATTGTATTATTTTTCAAAATTCATAAAATTGTAAGCTTATCTTTTTAAAAAATGAGATGTTAAGTCTATCTCCTGAGACTTTAAAAAGATAAGAAAATTAGAAAGTGCCTACTTAAAAGAATCCTGATCTGCCTCCAAAATCATCACTGATGGGTAAGAAAAACATCAAGGGATAACTAAAGAAATATGAATTACTAGGGCCTCACCCTTACTATAATTCAAATGATAAAAGAGCAGGTATATAAAATAATAAGCACATAGTACAATAAAAGATGACTTCAAAAGGACATCAAGAAAGTAATGTAATTAGGATTTAAAATTACTTGGACCAAAAAAAATTTAAAAAATCATCACATGGACAACCAGATACAATTAACACCAAACAATGAATCTATGTTAAGATGAGGCAGAGCTTCCAATGATACCCTGCAAAGTTCTGTTTGGCCCTATTCTGTTCAATACTTATCTGAGTAATAAATAAATATATAAAAAGAATGCTTATTTAATGTATATATGATACAATCCAAAATAATGGTTCTAAAAGAATCAATACACTAATAAGATGAGCTGTAAGTAACAGAGTAAATTTCATACATATAAAAACATTAAGCTCAAAAGAATCAAGTGCAAACATATGGATGGGGAAATCTGTGCCTAAGGGCATTTCATAAAATATCCAAGGCTTAACCAAACATTTCATGCATTGTTCAAAGCAACTTATATTCATTCATTCATTCATTCACTCGTTCAACAAGTTATCTATTGAATACCCACCATACGCCAGTCACTAAGAATCACAGACGGAGATCAGTGAAGAAAACAAATGTGAAGCTTACACTGTAGTGGTGGAAGGTAGACAAAAATCAAAATGGAAAACTAGTATGTTTGATTATTAAACAGGATGATCAGAAAATGCTTCCATGTGAAGGCAACTTTTGAGCAAAGACTTGAAACAGGTGAGGTAATGAATCCTGCATTATATCTGCATGAAGACTGCTCCTCCAGGTAGTATCTTCAAAGCTTTTGAGGTGATGTGTGCCTATCATGAACAATTTGAAGAAGACTGGTGTTGCTGGAGCAGAGTAAAAGAAAAAAAGGAAATAATCAGAAAATCAGCAAAGTGGAAAAAGGTGAAGACAGTGAAGGGCCTTGCAGGCCATCAAGAGGTCTCTGGCTTTTACTCTGAGGGATACGGGAAGCTACTGGAGTTTTGAGCAGAGAGGTGTGGCATGATTTGACTTATATTTAAAAATGATTATTGTGATCACATTTAGATATGTCAAGAAGGTGGAGCCACTTTGTCGGTGGATTACGATATGAGGTGAAAGAGACTAAAGGATAGCTTTAAGATACCTAACCTGAGCAACAAAAAAGGAAGTTTCCACTGAGATGAGGAAGGTTGCCAGAAAAACAGGTTTAGAGTCTAAGATCCAGAGTATTTAGGTTTAAAATATCTATTAAATATCCAAAATAAGACACTGAGCATACAATTAAGTCTAAAGTTTGCGGTGTATGTACATGCTAGATACACAAATGTTGAAGGTTGTAAGAGTACAGGTAGTATGTAAAGCCATAGGACCAAAAGAGATCATTAAGGGAGTAATGATAGATAGAAAAAGCCTAAGACTGAGAATAAGGATACCCCCAAAATTAAAAAGGTCCTCAGAAAGATGATAAGAAACTGTAATTCACTGGGTATTCACATATTTAATCCTCACTGATATCCTATAAATTAATATTCCTATTTTATAGTTGAAGTAGCTACAATTGATCAGAGATGTAATAGCTAAAAAGTGCTGAATCAGGGTTTAAATCCAGGCAATTTGTCCTAAAAGCCTTTTGATGCCTATCCTCTCTTTGTTTTCGAAAAGACCTGGATTTTTAGAGCACTTCCAACTATGCATAAATCAACAGTACATGACAGTTCCAAAAGCTAATGGAATTTCAGGCTACCTAAAGAAATGGATGATGTCAAAACAAAAGGAGGCATTACTCTTGTCATTAGCATTTTTTAGACCTCACCTGAAGACTTGTACTATATTTTGGCTGGCACACTTAAAGAAAAAAGAAAAAACACATAGTAGGTGCTCAATAAAAGTTAGTTATACTATCATCATCATTATTAAAGATGCACACAACAGCTGGTCCACAAACTGGAAGTCGCTGTCAGCAATGTCATGCTATTTTCCCAAACTGAGCAATAGGACATTGATTAAATTAAGCTTCTTCTCTTATATCTTAGTATTTTTCATGTTTATTCTCAGTCAACTAGATCAGTCAATTATTTTGCGGACAAGAGAAAAAACTACAGATATCATTTGATTCGAGGCACAAAATTTCTAAGTATTTCATTTTAAAGCATCAATTTCAAAAACAATAAATTAGTATTGTTTAATGGCCATATTCTAGCTTTACCTGTCTACACCAACGCCATCCAACAGAACTTTCTTTGATGATGGAAGCGTTCTTCTCTATTTGCCCTATTCATTACAGCACACTCAAACCTTAATTGCCACTGAGCACCTGAAATGCAGCTAATGAAATTGAAAAACGTTTTTAATTATATTTAAATTAATTTAAATTGCCACATATAACTAATGGTTGCCCTATTAGACAACAAAGTTCTGGATTAAGATCTAGACTGACACCCCAGCTTTCCGGGACAACAGAGCCACGGATTTGCCTGCAGCTATAAGATTAGTAATAAAGATAAAATCACACAGATAACATAAGCACAGAATTTTGGTGAGCACCAAAATACTGACATGCTTAGCAAATACTGTTCCTTTTCTCCACCCACCCACCCTCCCTTTCTTAGGGTTACTGAGCGTCAGACCCTTGACGTGGTTTTTTTGTTTACTTGTTTGCTTTTTAGTTACTGCCAGTGGAACACTACGCGCCACATTAATTCAAAAGCCCAGCTCTGTCTCCTGCCAAACACACACACACACACACACACACACACTCACTCACTCACTCACTCACTCTCTCTCCGTCCCCACCCCGAGAAACCAAGTCATCGGATGAATGTATACTCGGTATTGTATGTCTCAATACTTCTGTTTCAAATTCGCCTCCCTTGAAGCGTGAACTCTTCGAGGTCGTAACTCTCCAAGGACACCTTCACTGTTGGGCTACAAAAAGTGGGGATTAGAAGTGTAGAGGGGGCGCTTTTGGATTTCGTGGAGTGACGGACGAGACACCTCCGTGAGTGCACGTGTGGTTGTGTTCAGACGAGGCAAGGAACCGCGCGCCAGCTACGAGGACAGAATCTGGGAAATCTGCACACGCACGAGAGGAAGAACAGGTGCCCAGGCAGGCCCCACGTTACCTGCACATCCCCGGGGAAATACAAAACGTGATGCTGGGGTGGCGGTTGCAGCTCCTCCTCCGCCCGGTCTCCAGAGAGATCCCGCCGTTCCCGTCCCACCGCCGCCGCCAGCAGGAGCAGCTCGTTGCTGCGCTGCGGGTCGGCTCCCGGCACCGTGGACAGCTGCAGACACTGGTGCCGACGCCCCTCGGCGGAGGGGGAGCATCTCGCAGAGCTGCTGCCTTCCAAGTTCATGGTTCCGGCCTGAGAGCGTGAGGCGGCTATTCCGAAATGCGGCAGCAAAAGCAGCAGCGGCGGCGACCGCAGGAGCCCGAACCCCCACATGAGTCGCCGCCGCAAGAACCGTTGGCGTAGGGGTGGGGAGGGGGGAGGTCCTGAGGGAGCGATTTCACAGGCCGATCAACGGTCTGTAGGAGCGCCCCCCGCGGGAGTCGGCGCGGGGGCGACGACGGCGTCAGGGACGGACGTCAGCGCGCTGCGTGCGTAAGGAGGGAGGGGTGAACGCCGAGTCGGACTCCGGTTTCGGGAGGGGGCGGTGGGGGCATGGCCTAAGGAAGGGCGATTGTGATTGGTGAGTCCTGCCATAGCCGGGAAGTTCCAACTAAAATCTGGGAAAGAGTCGGAGGACTGCAAAGAAAGAATGAACCCAAGGCGCTGTACGAGAAGGCGGGCTTTTGTGGCGCATGCGCAGCAGCAGGAGTGGCCTAAAGGTCCCTGTCCAGTAATACGAATCAGGGTTTTGCGTATACCAGTTGCCCGTTTTTGGCAGGCTCACCTTTCAGATGAGAGCTTTCTAGTCTTTTTAGCCTTAAAAGGGACGCAGTCCCAATGTTGTAAGTGGAATAATTCTGCTCTGTAGAGAAATCTGTGGGAAGTCTTGCACATGTCCTGGATAAAGGGAATCTTCCTTTTATACCCTGGAGTTTTCTTTGTAGGTATACGAAGGTTTCTAGGTTCACAAGAATCTGTGGTTAGATAGGAAGTCTAATGTATCCCTGATTTATTAGGGTGGTCAGTGACATGGGCTGTGAAAGAATTCACAAAGAGAAGAAAGTGCAGAGAGTAAAAGTTTTTTACTTTCCGAAGGGAGGGAAAAGGCTAGGTTCAGAGAAATGCACCAGCCCGGAGAGGTGGAGGCTTGGAGCTTTTATTAGGTGATGGGAGTGCTTGTAGAGCAGGATGTTTCAATTGGTCTTGTATAGGCTGCAGCTTGTCTCGGTGCTATCTTTGGGTCCAGGGTCCTGGACGGTAAGGCCTGTTTTGTAAATTCCTGGAGCCTCTGCACCTTTGGGGCACTTCCAGTAATCCTCCAGTCCTGATAATAAAGGCTGATAACACTGTTAGGGTCAGTCATGCTTTACAGGGTTCAGCTAGCTCTGGCAAAGAGGGCCTGAAAAGGGAGATTCTACCCTATTATGATTGGTAGTGGGGAGCAGAACATACGGATTGATTGGGACAGGAAGAATGGGGGCAGGACATTACTTATTATACATTTGCTGCTCTTTGCTATTCTAGGGTTTTCAAAAAACAGTTTTAACAGTGGGAACATCATAGATGGCCAACAACTATCTGTGGCCAGTTGGGTAGGAATAAGATTTGGCCAAGTGTATGCTAAAGACAGGGAAGGGAGTAGGGGAGATACAATACTCTAAACTCAAGGGCTTGTGAGGCAAGGAACTATAAAGAACCTTGTGGGGGAGAATAATAAAATGCTAGTAATAAATGAGAATGAAGTACTAATACATACTACAACAGGGATTAACCTTGAAAACATGATAAATGGAAAATGCTAGTCACGAAAGACCTAATATTGTAGGAGTCCATTCATATAAATGATGTCTGGAAATAGCACTATGGAAACAAATAGTAGATTAATGGTTGAGTAGGGCTCAGGAGGAGGGGGCCTAATTAAAAACTAGTCAGTAACCCTGGCTGGTGTGGCTCAGAGGATTGAGTGCTGGTCTGTGAAGCAAAGGGTTGCAGGTTTAATTCCCAGTCAGGGCACATGCCTAGGTTGCAGGCCAGGTCCCCAGTAGGGGGCATGTGAGAGGCAACCATTCATTGATGTTTCTCTCCCTCTCTTTCTCCCTCTCTTCCTTTCGCAATAAAAATAAATAAATAAAAATCTTAAAAAAAAGAAAAAAGTAAAAACTAGTCACTAAATTCAGTCTACTCTCAAGGAGAGAATTAGGCTCTACTACTTGAAGGAAGGAGCGTCAAAACTCTTGCAGACAGCCCTGACTTTTGTGGCTCAGTGGGTTGGGCATTGTTCCAAAAACTGAAAGTCACTGTATGATTCTCAGTCAGGGCACATGGCCCTGTTGCAGGTCCCTGGTTGGGGGCCTTCGAGAGACAATCAGTGTGTGTTTCTCTCACACATGGATGTTTCTCTCCCTCTCGATCTCCCTCCCTTCCCCTCTCTCTAAAAATAAATAAATAAAGTCTTTTAAAAAACCTCTTGTGGACATATTTTAAAACAACCACACCCAAGTTCCCCTCCAGACACATCAGAATTCAGAGATCTTCGAACTGAAGTACAAGGGGAATAAGAGATGAAGTAGAGTTGACTAAGACATTATAAAACAAAAATGAGATGATTCTGAAAGGAGGGAAAAAAGAAAGCACAGGCTAGGGACCTTGGGACTTAAGGAACAACCGGTGGTAAATACCCTGGCTTTTATTTTTGCCTGCTATAGTACAAAATTGAAGCTAAAGAATTCAGCAACTTAGAAACTCCAACAGACGCACACAACGAAATTCTCAAGGAAAGCCTGCTATCTAGACAAAGCACTAGGAAAGGGGGAAGCCTCACAAGAGAACACTTTTAGGAGATAATGGCTCTACTCCAGCCAAATATCATGGAAAAAAACTATGGCCCCACCCAAAAGAGCAAAGGCTGAGTGGGGAGTCTAGACATCCACTCTTGGGCTTTAAGGAGGTGCCGTGATACCCTTGCCAGGTGGTGTCAGAGAAGACCAAGCAGAGGGAAGAGAAGGCTTGTTACTCCATCACCAGTAACAAGCCTTCTCTTCCTCCCATAGTGTCAGTGGATTCCATATGGAGAGTCAGGACTTTCACCATTGTCCAGCAGTACTAAAGTCACTCCTACAATAGTGCCATTTGTTATAGACCAGGTGGAGAGCCAGATCATCTTTCTCCACCTAACAGTAATGAGGAGCCTTCTTTCTATTCAGTGTCAAAATAGACTTCTGGACTTCTACTTCACCTTCGGGAGTGGTATAGAGAAAGTGAGTTAAAACCAAAGGTTAATATAAGATAGAGGGTCATATAACATAAAGTAACATAAAGTAACGTAACGTAATATAACAGAACATAATAAATTCCAGGTTTCATTTGAAAACCACTTATACCAAAAATGAGGTAAGTCTCAAAATGAATGAAAAAAGGACAACCAATAGACACCAGCAGTGAGATATTAAAATTATCTGACAAAGATTTTAAAGCAGCTATGATAATGCTGCAACAAGCAACTATAAACACACTTGAAACAAATTTTAGAAATAGATAACCTCAACAGAAAAATAGGAAATCTCAACAATGACATAAAAGATTAACAAAAAGAAACTAAATTAAAAAAACACATAGGCTCAACAGCAGAATTTAGGGAACAGAGAAAAGAATCAGTGAAGCTGAAGATAAATAGAAATTACCCAACCTGAATAGCAGAGAGAAAATAAACTGAAAAATAAATGAATAAACAGAGCCTTAAGCGCTTGTGAGACTATTACAAAAAATCTAATAGTGGGTCATTAGAGCTTGGGAGAAGAGTAGAAAGAGAGTAAGGCTGAAAAAAAATACATAAATAAATAATGGTTGAAAAGTTTTCAAATTTAGCAAGAGACATAACTACAGATTGGAGAATCTGAGCAAACACCAAAAATATCAGTCCAAAAAACCTGCCAATACACAACATAGTTAAATGTGAGGAAACTAAAGACAAAGAAAAAATCTTAACAGTATCCAGGGAAAACTGACACCTTACTCACAAGGGAAAAACAATATAAATGACAGCACCAGGGATATTTAGGGCAGTGAAATTACTCAGCAATGGTGGATACATGGCATTACACTTTTTGACAAAATCCAGATGTAAAACACAAAAAAGTGAACCCCAATATAAACTAATGAATTTTGGTTAATAATAAGGTAACAATATTACCTTGTAACAAATATAGCAAACTAATGGAAGATAATAATAATAGAGAAACCAGGGTAGAAAGATAGGGGAAATATGGGAACTCTCTGTACTTTCCACTCAATTTTTCTGTTAACTTAGAACTGCTCTAAAAATAAAGTTATTAATGTCAAAATTTACTAAGCAGTCTATATACAAACAGGCAGCTCAGGGCTTCAGGGGCTAAAATAAGGATTTGATTTCTCTCTTGTTTTCTTTGTTTTCATTCCCTGGTAGGTAGGCAGGTTTTCTTCATGTATCAGGAATAACGACATTGCTCCCTCCCTCTGCTTCCAAAAGGCCGAGCTTGGTATCTGAGGCTGGTGGAAGTGTGGGGAATCTGGGATTCTATGACAACAAGGAAATTATATTGAAGCCTTGAAATATGGTGACCTATGTTATATTATAGCAAAACAACTGGCCAAACTGTTGTCTGCAGTGAAAAGATAAAAATTACTCAAACATGGATTCATATGCAGTTGTAGAAATAATAGAGATCCTCTGTACCTCCCTCTCTCTCTGCCCCCTGAACCCTTGACAACCTCTAAGCTTTTTACTGTCTCCATAATGTTGCTCTTTCTGGATGTCATATGTTGGCTTTTCAGAATGACTTCTCTCACTTAGCAATATGCTTTTAAGTTCTCTCTCTGATTTTTTTAAATGACAAAATAGCTCATTTTTTTTCATTGCCGAATAATATTCTATCACATTGATGTACCACAGTATTTTTTATCCATTCACCCATTGAAGGGCATCTTGGTTGCTTCCAAGTTTTAGCGATTATGAATAAAGCTACCATAAACACTCATGTACAGGTTTTTGTGTGGCCATAAGTTTGCCAATCATTTGGGTAAATACCAAGGAGTAAAATTGCTGGAGTGTGTAGAAAGAGAATAGTTAGTTTTGTAAGAAACTGCCAAACTGTCTTTGAAAGTAAATATACCATTTTTCAGTCTCATCGTCAAGGAGAGTTCTCATTTCTCCACATCCTCACCCGCATTTTGTTGTCAGTGTTTCAGATTTAGCCATTGTAATAGATGTGCAGTGGTATCTCATTGTTTTATTTTGCAATTCTCTGATGACAAGATGTTAAATATCTTCTCATAAGCATAATTATCATCTGTATATCTTTTTTGGTGAGATGTCTGCTCAGACCTTTTGCTTATTTTTAAATTGGGTTGTTTGTTTTCTTATTGCTGAGTTTTAAGTGTTCTGTATAGATTTGGATACCAGTCCTTTACCA